AATATAATAGTTAATTGATAAGATTTAATATTTATTTTTAATTAATAATTATTTTAATAAATCTTCTTATTTAATATATGTTGTAATTATTGTTTTAAAATAAAAGTAAAATATAAAAAAATGTATTATATAGCATCTTAAAATAAATAAGTAAATTTAAATTTCCTAAATTAAAAATTAAATATATTAAAATTTAATTAATATTTCATTTATTACAAAATATCTATCATTTTTATAAAAATGTATATTTATAGCAATAAATCTAAAACGATACACAAAAAATTCTGGTATCTGATACATATCGTTTCAGTAGTAAAATCGGTACGTATGTCGATATATTATTGACAACTTTGAACTTAACCCTTAATTCTTTAACTACCATAAAAATAAGGGCTAAATTGCTATAAGAATAAGGGTTAAATTGCTTAAATCATGAAATTCAAAGGCTTATGTGCATAGAGCTCAATAATGACTAGGATTAGTTTAGGGGCTTAACAAATAGTTTTGCCTTAAAAAAATCTAAAAAGCAAAGAAGAATTTTGGTATCATAAAACCTTTGCCCAATGTTATTGTTTGTCCATGCAATCCATCAAGGAGCTTGAGACTATAGCTGCAATACTTCTATTTTCCATCATATACAATATTGATGTTCCTCCTTTCTTCAACAAAGTAGAAACAAATTAGTATGAGGTTAAAGACAACATTGATTAGAACAAGAGACAAGGAGTTTTGCTCTAAGATCATGAATTTGAAAATTGTGATTGATGGCATACAAACCTAAATCTCCAAATTTATCAACTCAACTAAGGGGGTAATTTTTTCTTTCCATGTCTATGTCAACAAAGCAGCCACTTAATGGAGTATTGTTATGGTCGATGGAGTGGTGACATTTTCTTACCTCTGCATAGTTAAAAGGGTTCATTTGCATTGTTTTGCAAATGTAGGGGGGCACTTTGCCAATCAAAAAAGTCAAGGGGTCCCGAACACAGCAGTGCAAATTGAGGGGCTAATTTGGACTTTCTGCCTATTTTATCCGCTGGATTCACTGAATATTGAAGTTAAAATGAATCTTTAAGACAGATCTGAGAATCGAAGGAAACAGGCATTTTTTATGGTCTTCTGTTATTTAATAGTGGGTGTCAAAAATGTTTATCGAAAAAGTTTCTTCCAATTTTTTTTTTTTTTATAGGTAAGTTTCTAATGAGTTAAACTGCACTCATATACATTTAATAAAAATACTTTTAATGAAATGATTTTTTATGTTATTTCATTAATTGTGATTTAATCATTTCAGTACTTGAACTACACTTATAATAAAGTCTAATTTGTAAAATATAAATCTCAATATTTATTGAGTTCAACCTGTGCTTTCTGTTGCGTTTTCTATTGAGTTTCTTTGGGAGTGACCAACAAATGCCTACTCTGAAAACATGTTGAGCGTACAAAACCTTTATCCCAATACATGAAAAGTTCCCAGGTCATTTTAAAATTTCCATACCTCAAGACTATAACAGATATAAGGTAAAATTGACATCTATAAATTTCAATCTTGGACACAATATTTTATAAACAATCTTTTCTTATCATATTTTTTTAAAGAGAAAACTTTCCCCCAACTTCTCACTTGACAACTTTTTCCCACCTTTTTCAATATCCACTTCCTATCAAACATAAAAAATTGACAATCTCATAAACAACCTTTTGTCTAGTAATTCCCAACCTTCTCATATAATACCTTCTCATATAATACTTTTCTAATCACTATCCCTTTAGCTTTGCCTCTAACCAGGCCCTTTTGGTTTACAGATTTAATTCTTTCCACTAAAAAATTTGCACCTATGACCTATGGTTTCCTCCGTTGATTTCAATTAGTCATGAAAATTAATATTTGAATTTAAAATTGAAATAGCACTTCATGAGGTGATGCAATAGCTTCCTTCCCCATGCATACAACGTGTTGCCATCCCTATACTAAGTCATAAATACTTGAGACAATATGATATGGTAATTAATCAATATTGAAGGGCTTAGCAGAGTTGATATCCTCAACTAAAAAACCTTAATTTAGGGTTAAAGTCGGGGGTTCAAACCCCTGCCATACCAAATAACTAATCCTCCAATGTATCAAAAAACTAGAGATTCATTGCGTACCATGTTGGATACTCTTATTATTTGCGGACTGTGAGGAGGGAGGGTTTATACAGAAAAGATACAGAGTCAACTGTAACTGTACTGCCCCAGCAGCAAATCAAGCATGTCATCAGGGGTGAGAAGAGTAGTTCCTCCAAGAATCAATTCTATATCAGGTCTTCCACTTTCTGATAATGCCTCTTGTACTTCCCGTACCTTGCAAAATAAAGATGAAAAATATTCTCATTTTTGTGATGGTGAGTAAAACTACATAAATGCAGTTGATCATCCAACATGCCAACATGCCATCATGCACTAATGCAGGGAGGAATACTCATTTTTTTTTAGAAGATAAAAACTTGAGGGCTTAAGAAATTAAGCATAAACTGGATTCAGAGAGGAGTGGAAGCATGAAAAATAAGCCAACACATTTAAGGAAATTCAAACCTCAACACCATTGATGCCTCCAATAACAAAAACCAGAATCACATTTTGGTCAGCAATACATGGTTTGGCCTGCATAGTTGAGCATATTGTAAGCACTAAAGCACGAAACTCTTATGAAGTTAAAAAGTTTGTGGATGGTGAGTTTACCTGTCCAAGACCAAATCTTCCAAATCCACTTTTAAAAAGTCGACCAACAGTAGAGGAATGATACTCTAAGCCAGGTACATCATGCTTGTATAACACCCTTGTTAGAAGCTTATAAAGCAATCCCTTGTTTGTGTAAGGATCCCCACTAAAATTGCTTTCCAAGAACAACCCCCCTTCTTTTAAAGGCACACTTCTACTCCTTAAATTAGATAACTTGTGAAGGGTTTTGAAAAGGTTATCAACCCTATCATGCAACTCCAACTTAAGCTGCATGTCATCGTATGCTTGCTCTTTGTTATTACCATCTTCATCCTCGTCGCCCCATTTACCCCACTGATCATCATCAAAATCATCAATTTGTAATTGCTCTGAAGATAATTCTTTGCTTTCATCTGGTTTGTTCCTGTTCATATTGGCCTCAAGCTCTTCTGTTAGACCATGAAGAAATTTCAACTTAGCTGTAGGCAGGTTTTCAAGAATCGCATCAACTATAGATTCTTTCAGAAAGTGCTCCTCTTGCCAAGAGAAAGGACCACCAGATCCGGCTGTTGGGAAATTGTCACCAGCTAATATATAACCAATAATCATAAGGAGAAAAGCATCTTGAAAAGAAAGGGGCCCTTGAGAAGGATCCATTTTTTCACTCTTTCTATTATAACCCACAAAAGCACTCTTATTGATAATATCACCAATTTGAGCAGCAAGACTTTGACTTGTGTCTCCAGCACTGACACTCAGTATTTTTTCTGCACTGATAAATGCATCCCATCTATCACTATGTGATTCATCAAGGGCAACTAGCGCAGCAGTTGCCATCTGAATAATTCCTCTGTTTCTGACTAAAGATGCCTGGCATTTGGCCAGAGCTCTTATCATGGATAGTAACTCTGATTTTCCAGGAAAACCAGGACGAGTTCTCACATTAGTAGTTACATTTTCCTGACGTAAAGCTTCCTGAAGCCACTTCTTCACCAGTATAGCCCCATCCTTTGTCCTTCTATCCAGTATAGCTTCCAGATATGGTGTTCCACGGAAGCTTTCAGTGGAGACAAAAGACCCATTAAGCAGCTGAACTTCGGTTGGAAGGGACTTTCCATCATTAACATTTTTGTTGATATTTGTCAAATCAACAATCTGAGGAACAGAATTATAACAATCCCATCCACGCATAAAAGCTGCAATACTTTCTGAAATATGAGAATCATAAATTTTTGAATCCTCTGTGCTTAAAATTTTTCCAAGCGGTATCTGAACATCAAGAGGAGCTCGCTGAAGACTAGAAGGATTAAGTTGGGTTTGGGAGCCTCTAGCATTTGTGTAAGAAGATGTTCTTTCCCTACGGGGCAAGGAGGAAAATATACGATCCACAAGTGAGTCCCCATGACAACATGGAGTAAGAAGATCAAGCGAGCGATCAATAAGTAATAACCCTGCTGACCGTTTACGTCGCCCTACATCATAAAGACTTGACATATCGGTCAAAATCTTTCCAACAGTTTTTGACAGATCTCCAAGTGAAAATATTTCCATCTTCAAGTCCATCTGCTTATTTTAAAAGATTAACATGGTCATGACACTTAATGAGACATGTAAGCAACAGAATAGCTATTTTATAAATTTTAGGAGATACAAAGTAAAGGCTGATTGAATCATGTTAAAGCTATATAAATGTTATACTACCATCTTCGTTGTTTTTGAATGAACTCAAGTCTGCAACTGACAAACAATACACAGTCGATTCATCAATATAATCAATATGACAGAAAATTAATTCACTTAACTTGTTTAGATATTTCACAGCAAACAGCATGAAAAGTAACGCAAATATGAGATCCTGGTTATATCAGATTGCATAAAAATTTAGTGTAGCATTTTCATTGGTAAGAGAGACTGAAAAGACATTTGAGGATACACATATGAAGATTGTAAAGATCAGAAAACAAATAGAAACTATCTTAAAATATGGGAAGAGAGAAAAGTATATATTTTGAGGTTTAAGCAAAGCAAGAACTTACCTTAACAGCTAAATGGTAAAGAAAATGTGCTGTAAGAGTTGCCCCAGGAGGAACCTCGTCAGCATCAGATGGCAGCCCAGTACTCAGAGGGGGAAATCCAGGGCTCAGGGAATCCTCACATTCAGCCGATAAGCATGCTTCGGAAACTGATCCCTCTGAAGGCAAGACAAATATTCTAGGTGAAAAAGGACATAAAATCATGGGGAAGTGATGCACAGAAACAACCAATTTTGCCCCTACATCTTCCATTTTCCCTTCTAGACTATCTTCATGTAGCCCTTTTTGAGCTGAAATAGAGACATCCTCTTCACTGGACACAATTTGGGACCATCCTTCATTGTTCAATGTCAAATTTCCGTGGATGTTGCTATCTGTTGGCTGTCCAGACTTTGCCTGACATTTCTTAGTAAGCTCTTTGTAGTCTAGGAGAAGCAATGATTCATATTCACGGAAAGCATCGGGTCCAAGGGGTGAATCAGGATACACTGAATGTGCTGCCTATAAATAGGGAAAATAAATTATTCAACCTCAACAAGCAGAGAAATCAAGTGAACGCCACAGTTTTGAACTCAAAGGACAAGCATAAGAACACATTATGGCATAGGCAGATAGTCCACAAATAAATTGCATGCATAAAGAAGAACATGAAACTAAAGAAAATAAATAACAGCAAGTTACTGAAAGCAATGATGCCCAGAAAGAAGAACCCACCTCTGAGATGGAAGTAAATATTGTACAACGGTGAACCACTTGATGCATGCTCAAACAACGTAACACATAACGATGTGCATCACTTAGCAGACGAGATGTCATAATAGCAATTTTCCTTGCAGAATCTGAATTTGCATTCCAATCAACAGCCTATACAAAGAAGCCAAGAAATGATCAGAGCAGACATAAAATATCATTCAACAGAGTATCTTAGATGCATTACTAGCAATCACAGGGAAGTTAGTAATCCGGAGCAACAAAAATGAAATCCAAATGCTGAATCTACTTTTCTCGAGTTATTTGCTCTTTCTACTTGCTAAAATTTGGCAACATGGTTTACGGCACAAACTGCTTAAATTTTTGGCTTCCAAGAGATATAGGTTCAGCAAATGATTGGGGGCTGTTTGGCGGAACTTTTTTTCTCATTTGCTTATAAGCACTCCTTACCATCACAACTTTGAAAACCTTTGGGAGGGTTCCATTACCTTTCTTTAAAACTTGTTTATAGGCACTTTAAATGCTAAAAAGAAACATTTCAGCCAAAAATCCAAAAAAAAAAAAAAAATTCAAACATAAGAGAGAAAATGTGTTCTTATAAGCAAATTGAAACAAAAAAAAAAAAAAAAAAATTCAAACATAAGAGAGAAAATGTGTTCTTATAAGCAAATTGAAACAAAAGCTCTACCAAACAGCACCAAAATTTTCAGGGACAACATTTTGAATAACATGTAGTTAATGAGTAGCTATTTGAATTGAAAACCATAGAAAACTGTATTAGTTAATGAGTAGCTATGTTATTATTTTTATCATGAATAAATAAGTATATAATTAATCATGTAGCAGTAGCAGTATTATATTTACGTTCCATCTTTTGTGACCCAGCGGCTGCTAGTGCATAGTTTCTACTTTCTAGTCCACTTCTTTAATGAATATTTCATTGACAACTTAATTTTTTTCCTTTTGCTCATATGACAGATTACTAATTACAAGTTCATTATTTTATCAATGAAATACAAGCAACATCCTACCCTACCAAATCAAGAGAACACATGTTTTCCAAGCTGCACACAGCACGAACTCCAAGGTCCAGCAACATAGGGAATGCTCCCATAAACTGGAAACTCTCACTGCATCCAGCATCTAGGTACAGAGTAGCATCTTCAATGTGCTCTGATATCTGAACAAGACAGGGAATGATCATAACACCGGTCAATTATGAGTACATTTGAACAAGCTCATTTTCATTGGAGACTTTGATAAACATAAAAATACCTAAACAAAACATTCAAAAGAGAGAGAGGCAATTTGAATCATTTCCAGTTTCTTCACAAATAGTATCCATATGCATTTTACAAGCACATCCATCAGCCAGTATACAGATGGAAACACCCAAATAGAATGCTGATACAAACAATATACGGATAGGCACTACCAAAGAAAATATCAGCATATATTGAACATGGCAGAACAATGATTAGATTCCATGACACGTTTAAAGTTTGATCTAGAAAAAAGTAAATATCATGCAAAAACAGAAAAGAGAACAATATTGCAAACTGTAATTTTTTGAAGTTTCAATGCAGCTGAGCCCCCTTCAAACAAAAATAATATATATATATATATAAGAGTATATACTAAATTATCAAAAATGCAGCAGTCCCAGTAGAGTAGTTGGTCAGAAATATCCAATCTTTGAAGGAACCCTGGAGATGAAATGCATCTGCTAGTTGGGAAATCCTGGAGATGGGTTTTTGGATCTCTTCACAGAGATGATAAAATGGCTTCTCCCTCTTCGAAAGGGGAAAATTTGCGATTGAACCCCTTGCATCATTAAACCCAACATGTTCATTACTCGCTCTAAGGCAAAAAACCAGAAGCTGATTAAAAGTTGGAAACGAACTCACTTGGGTAATTGAATCGAGGCAACACTTGGTAACATCAATCAAAGCCATAGTTCAACCCACCGATCACTGAGATCGAAAACAGATTCGAACCGATTGCAATCTCAACCAATTCTACTTTAAAATTTTTTCTCCTTTCTCTCTCTAGGGCAATGGACAATCTGAACGACGGAAGGAGTCTTTGGACATCCGATTTGGATTCGGTACCAACAACAAACCGAACTCCACCAAGCGGCCCGATGGGCCGCGATCCGTTGAGGGAGGTAGATGTTCCTCGTATCGGGGATTAAATTTCAGTTATTAATAAGTAATAAAACTAATTTATTAACTATTAATTTATTAACTATTATCTTTATAAAAAAAAAAAAAAACCCAACAACAAACCCAATTTTTAATAGCAATTTTAGTTACAGCGAGGAGAGAGTACAAGAATGAGATTTCCTTGCAAAAGAGAAGTTGTGGAATAACTTTGAGGAATAATCTTTAAGATTCACCCTTTAACTATTATCATTTGTCCCACTCAAGCTTGAGAACTAACTTCTGTTCCAAATACGTCATTCTAGGTTAATTTAAGCCCATTAGACCAAACCCAAAGGCCCAAAAAAAAATAATAATAAAACATAAAACATAAAAAGGTGCAAATTTGATGACGTCTCCAAAGATCTTCTTCCACTACGCCTTCTTTGTCGCTCGTTGCTCTGGTCAGACTCGGACTCAATCTTAGCGGAACAAACCCTCTCACCTCTTCTTCTCCTTAATCATTTCTCTCATGGTCTTGCACTTTGTACCCCAGGTACATCTTCCTCTTTCGATTCATGGATCTCATCTCAATTTCAGTTTCTGATCATATATCGCATATTCATGTTTACACTTGAACTTTACCATTTACTTTTTTTTTTTTTTTTAATTTTGTAGCCTTTCAGAACATGTATGTTAAAGATAGAAAAGATGGTGTTTGTTTTAATTATGCTAATTTGCTTCTTTAAAAATGTTATTTTTATGATATAATTTTATTCAAAGTTTTAATAAATAAATAAATAAAGAGGCAAATTTATTTACTTTGGTTTTAATATCCTTCTTGTTAAATAGGTGCTCGTGAGAGGGATGAGATAAATTGCCATGCAGATCTTTTATTCAGTTATCGTCCAATTGTATATTTTGTCTAAATTTCATCTAGTAAGTTTCTTGCTAAGGGGCTATCGGCTTACTGATATTGAGGCTGGCATTGGGTCTTTCAGTTAAGTTGGTACTGTTTTTACAACATGCCATATTATATACAGAGACTTTATAATGCTTGCAAGGCATCATTCTCACCCACGGGCCCTGTGTCAGATGAAGCACTCGAGAAAATCCGTACTATGTTAGGTATTATTAGTTTTTTAAAGATATTTTTTTTACTACTAATGCTTTCACTTAATAAAATTTAATAAAATTATTCAACTATGATTGTCCAAAAAGATTTAGTCAATTGAAGTACAACTTTTTCTATGCCCCGTCCCAATGTAGTGCTAGGCATTTTTTACATATTATTGCCTAGAGTTATCAGTATTGACTACTGTTTTGACAGAGAACTATATGACTTAAATGCTTAAGCTGATAGGTGATGGGATTGGTTTCTGTCTGTGCGTTTTATATATCTGTGGGAGTGAGTGGTTATTGTATAGTTGTAGGCAAGTTCATTCTAACACCTGCTTTCCCCCTTGCATGTTACTTGGACATTGCAAGTAATTCAAGAGAAGGCTGCAAATTATACCTTGTGTTGTAATTAATTTAACTCACGTTGTGCCTTAGTATGGGCATTGGGACCTTTTGGTTAAGCAAACTATAATGTTGTGATAAGGAACCATCAGATCTAAATGCTGAATGTGATGAGTAATGGTCTAACACATTTACATGTTTTATGAAATTTAATGGAGAATTAAACATATAACAATGCTGGAAAGAGACAAGTGCAAGGAATGATATGAGGCCTTGTTAGGAAACTGCCTGTGTAGAGAAGGCAAGAATTAAGAAGTTTCTGTTATTACTTTGTGTTGAGTAAAAGGCAGCCAATAGAGTTTATCTGCTTGAGTCACAATTTAATCACAAATTTTCATGTGTGGTCCAACTAAATTGCCTCATTGATAATTGAGCCTTAACCTTTTTCAAGCCACTATGTGTTATCATTTGGCAATTCTAGTTCCATGCAGAGCTAAATGTTGATTGTGAGCCTCCAAATTGTAAAGTGTCAAAAGGAATTTTTGTTGGTTGAGAATTCAAGGAAGGCTTGAGAGTATTGGGAGGTCATATATTTCAACAATAGGTTTTCACCCGTTGATGAAGAAATATCTAGTGGTCTTTAATTATGGTAGTGTGCTACTGGTTTGGCCTTCCGCATAGGCTCATCATGCCTCTCTAAGATTTGAACGTAACTATAATAGTTAGACAGGAATATTTCAAATCTAGTTGATCCAGAGAAGCATGGATATTTGCACTGGGTAGTGAGTGCTATCTTAGTAACTTTCATTTTCTCAAATTTAAGTCACATAGAATTGGTGGATTCCAAAAGATCAAGGTGGTGCTCTTCCATGGTGAAGGCTGTTATTACAACTTGTATCTCTAGCATTGGATGGTGATGAAGTACCTTGTTCTTGGTGGATACCCCCATATACAAAGGCTTTTGAACCATAGAATAATTTTTCATCTTGCCCTGTAGTTTGTATCAGTTGACATGAAGGTCTGAACAAACCAGCAGAGTAATTTTCTGATAGAATAAAAAATAAAAAAGCACTAGCAGAGTATTTTAATTTGCAATTTCCTTCTTGCCTGGTGTAAACTTTTAGTCAAATTGTACTACCTAAAGCAACTTAGATATTTCTTCCTATAATATGGTTGTATTACATGTACAGAACACATGTATTTGGGCTCTATGAAAAACATGTGTTTTAATTACATTTTTAACTGTTCGTATAATCGTATTTCAGAGAAAATCAAGCCTTCTGATGTAGGCCTGGAACAGGAAGCACAAGTAGTGCGAAATTGGACTGGTCCTGTGCGTGAGCAGAATGGTAGTAGCCATCAGTCACTGCCAGCAATTAAATACATGCATTTACATGAGTGCAACAGCTTCTCAGTAAGTATAGATTTTATGCTTACAAATTGTTTAAAGTTTTAAGATGAGAAAGTTAAACGTAGTTCCACTCTTGAGTATTTTATACTGTAATGAAATGAATACTTACCTTGAAATTGTAAAGTTAAAGTTGGGGAAATGGCAAGATCCATGACTCATTAGTTTTTCTTACAATGTTGCAGATAGGAATTTTTTGCATGCCTGCTTCATCAATAATACCTCTTCATAATCATCCGGGAATGACTGTGCTGAGCAAGCTTATCTATGGCTCATTACATGTGAAATCATATGATTGGCTTGATTTGCCTGAGCCTGAAGATCCACTGCAAGGTTTATTTGAGATCATGACTTCATTTTCCACTTTTATCATGCTCATTTATTTGATGCTTGTAAACAAATGGCAGAACTAGACATGTGTATACAGATACTTGCTTCCATGAAAGATTCATTTGATTGTGAAGAAAATTATTTCTTGTGCATAACAAAATTCCGAAAATAATATGAGCTTCTTGTTTCTCATAACCTGTTTCATTTATCATCCTTCTTCTCTTCAAAATAGTCTTATTTTCAGTAGTTATTTCTGCTAGTTGAGTGTAGAAGATTGATATTACTTTTGATTAATCTGTTTAAATTCTTGGTTATAAACATTGCATGACTGTTACCTTTACTTTATAGGCATCGCTAGATTGTTTAAAGACTTCCTGATCCTTCTCACTCTGTACGCCATGTCCTCCTGGCATCATCTGCAAATTTGAAATATGATCATTCCAAGTTATTTGAGAAAGGAAATATTTACGGCTTTTGGTTGTGTCTTCTATCATCTTGTACTGAATTGAAATTTGTAACTTGATTTACAATATGTGAACCTGCTGTCCTTGATGTTACATCAGGTGGTTTTTGTATGCAATATCTGTAGAACATGCAATTGAAACTGGCCTGCTGGTTCAGTGGAGACTTCATTATTTAAAGAAGTGACAAATCTGTTGAAAGTTGATAAAATCTATTTCCTCTACTAGGATTTTGGCCTAAGATCTTTGGTGCCTTTTGTTTATGGTTATTTGTTTTTTTTGTTTTCCATGCTGGAAGCTTGTTAATCTGCATGGTGCATGTAGAGTGAATTGTAGAGAAATGAACCCTGTGGAGGAAATGTTTTCTTCTCCTCTCCTACTCAAGTGTAGAAAGCATTTATATTTCTTTGGTCTTCAACTTCCAAATTACTGTTTTTCCTTATGATTGGTGCTTTGTAGCAAGACCCGCAAAACTTGTTAGGGATGTGGAGATGACAGCCCCTTGTGCATCAACAACACTTTATCCTAGAACTGGAGGCAACATACATTGTTTTGTGGCCCAGACTCCCTGCGCTATTTTTGATATCCTATCTCCTCCTTACTCTGCAAAGGTTGGACGAGATTGTACTTATTTCTGCAGGTCTCCAAGAAGGGATTTACCTGGTAAATTAGATTCATTTGAAATATAACTGTTAACTGTTAGCTATCTCTAATATCCATTCTTCTGTTTCCTTGTTTAATAAAGGTGAACTAGAAGTGAATGGAGTGGTGACTGAGGTAACTTGGTTAGAGGAGTTTCAACCTCCAGACAACTTTGTGATACAAAGGGGGCGGTACAAAGGTCCGGTTATTAGAACATGAGAATTTCTTGGACCAATTAAAATTACATAAGATTGTGGGGAGGGTGCCAGCAATTAGCGAATAATCAATATTTGAGCTATATAAGTTAGGCATCTGGCTTTGTACATATTGTTACAGCAATATATTGTAGACCTTTAATTTACTGACCTCACATTTTATCAGTGAGGAAGTGACTGAAAATCTTCACGCCTATCCCAAACTATTTCTTATTTTGTTTGTTCAATGATAATGAGGTCAGTCATTCCCCTTTTCTTTCCTTGAGTCTTGTTAACTTTGCTCTGACTTTAGCTTGTACATTTAATACAGTTCCTTTTATGATGAATCTGGTTGGGAAGCAGGTTTTGTTTGAGATCGACTTCATCAGACATGTTTTAAGTTTTACTTCATCTATTGCAAAATAATTTTTCTGGTACATGTGAAAAGAATCAAATTAACTAACTAATGGCGGAGAAAAGCAACGCCCATCATATCCCTTTCTAGGAAACAATTCAATCTGGGAGGGGGAGAATCATAGGCGGTGGTTCCAACCGGCTAGCTATGCCCAATTCCAGCCAAACAATCTGCAGCAGGATTCCCCTCACGGAGTGTATGTTGAAAAATAATAGAATCAAACTCAGCACGGAGCCTTCTAATGTCTGATACAAGAATGTCGCCAAGCTGTCATCTTCTTCTAATCCATTAATGAACTGTACTGCAGTTGAAGAATCCATTTTCACAACTAGATGCTTGAGCCCTCTACTTCTGCATAAGATTAACCCCTCTCGGCATCCCCGTAGCTCAGCCAAGAAAATGGAAACTAGTCCAATATTCACTGAGAAACCTTGAATGAAAAGGCTCTTGAATGGTCTCGAACTACACCACCAGCACTAGCAAGCCTAGTCTCCTACAATCTAGGCCCATCAGTATTTAGCTTGCAAAAGGGAGAGACTGGTGGTTGCCAACAGATCCATCTCGGAGCTTGGGATTTAACAAAAATGTTACAAGCCATTGCTTTATATGTATCCTGTGAATAACCACAGATCCATCATAAAGTGTAGCCGCTGCTAAGTGTTCGCCCTTAAATACCAGCTGGTTACTGCACTTCCATAATTGCCAAATGGTAGAGAGAAAGAGAACGTTAAAAGACATATCTCCAGCACGCACTTTAGAGACTTTCTGAGAGGAACGCCGAGTCCATTGCTGCCAACTCAGTTGAAAGAAAGCATGATCTCCCAAACCCAGCATGGTCCATACATGTACAGCAAAAGGGGAATCCCTCGAGATGCAAAGCTGTTTCAGAGTGCCCCCACAACGAGGACATGTAGAGGAAGTAGCCAAGTGACGCTCATAGCGAACAGCATTAGTGAGGACTCTATTTCTCAAAAGGAGCCAATTAGCCAAACAAACATCCTAACTCTCTCAGAACAGCGCAGTTTCCACACCCATTTCCAGCACTGGTCCTGCAACGATATTGGTTCCTTCTGCAATAAAATCTGGTGGAAAGCTGACTTGACCGAGAAAAAACCCTGAAAATTTCCATACAATCTTATCTTGAATACGGCCCGTTGAGGACAAAGGAATTGATAAAATTTCATTTACTTGTGCCTCTGGTAAGAAAGTACCTAGAAGCTTTTGATTCCAGTTTATGGAATTAGTGATAACACTAGAGACTGGCATAATCAAAGATTCGCTGAAAACAGGACCAATGATAAAGTTTGACAAAGCGGAACTACTAGTCTAGTGATCCTTCCAAAAGTTAATAGAATTGCCTGATCCAACGCGCCATTGCAATCCAGTTTGCGGCACATCACGGCATTGTAGAATACTCCTCCAAGATACCAAAGCTCTTGATCCCAATTCTGTTGTAAGAAAATTTGAAAAACGCAGATACTTTTGTCTCATGGCTCTACACCAAGGAGCTTCATCCCCTGTCCATATCCGCCAGCCGAGTTTAGCTATTAAAGCTCTATTATTATCCCTTGCTGCTCTTAATCCCAGCCCTCCTTGGTCCCGACTCCTACATACCACATTTCAACTAACAAGATGAGGCCGTGAAT